CCCCAAAACCCCAAAACCCCAATTAAAGATCGTGCTGTGTTTAGTATAAAAATATTTAAAAATTTTTAAATTAAATTTAATATTTATATTCATATATATATATTGTGAGTTACCACTGTAGAGTGTTCAATTACAATATCAATGACAAAGAATGCAACTGTTGCTAACAATTCACAAAAAGATGGAGATGAAGCCTAAACATCTATTTCACTCAGAAAGTTTTTTCAATTTACTACGAATTATGAAAAAATCATGATTCTATTAGGAACATTAGCAGCTGTAGCTACTGGAATTTTACTTCCTATATTTGCTATTCTGATAGGTGATATATCAGACGCTTTTGAGCCTCTGAATGACCCAGTCTCAAAAAGAGAAAATTTATTGGAAATCTCCGGAAAAATTGCTATTTTCTCTTTTGCTACATGGTTTACTGGCTATATTTATTTCTCTTTCTGGTAGCATGTTGCTGAAAATGTTACCAATGAGCTAAGAATTAGATATTTAAGTGCTCTCCTTAAGCAGGAGGTGCAATACCTTGAGTAAATACAAGTTCAAAAGTTACCATCTCTACTTGGTGAAAATTTCAGTCAGATTTCAGAATCAATAGGCTAGAAACTTTCAGCTTTTATATTCTCCTTTGTTAACATGCTATCAGCTTTTATAGTATCACTAATAAGAGGGGTGGACCTCACAGCTATCTTTTTTTCAGTTTTCCCTGCAATGTTTATAATAATAGCAATTCTTGGTGCAATAGTAAAGAAAGTTTCATTATCTAAAATTTTGGGACTTGCCAAGATGACTGACAAAATTGATGAAACTTTATTAGGAATTAAGGTTGTCAAATCATTTGCTTAAGAAGATAGAGAGATTTCAATGTTTTAGGAAATATCAGAACAATCGAGGTTAAAATCTGTAAAAGCTGAGTATTTCACATGCGCTTTTATTGCTATTTTGAAATTTGTTATTTTCGGATTTTACGGAATAAATCTATGGATAGCAACTATTTATATAGACGAGAAAAAAATTAATCCAAACACTGGGAAATAATACACTGTTGGAGAAATATTCTCAATCATATTTTGCGTCATGAGTTGCTCAGCCATGACTTTTTAACTTATACCTAATTTACAAGCAGTTCTCAAAGTTAAAATTATTGGTAAATAAATATTCGATGTGATAGAAAGAAAACCTTAATAGGAATAGTATGAGACTATAAGTGAGCAAATTTTGCCAGATTTCAAGTCTATTATATTTGATAAAGTAACTTTCAAATACCCAAATACTAAGAATGATCTCCTAAGCGAGGTTTGTTTCCAAATATAGGCTGAGACTTCAACTGTTATTGTAGGTTAATCAGGTTCAGGTAAAAGTACTATTGTATAATTGCTTGAGAGATTTTACGGAATAAATTAAGGAGCGATACTTTTGGATAAAGTCAATATAAATGACATTCCAATTAATGTTCTGAGAGACTCTATTGGCTATGTATAGCAAGAGCCTATATTGTTGCAAGGCACAATCATAGATAATATTTTATTTGGCAATAAAGATGCATCTGAAGAATAAATAAAAAATGCTTTGGTTAAGGCTAACGCTTCATTCGTTTATTCACTTGAAAATGGAGTAAACACATATGTGGGCACATCCTCACTGATAAATCTCTCTGGTGGGCAGAAACAAAGAATAGCAATTGCCAGAGCATTAGTCAAAAATCCTAAAATTCTAATCTTAGATGAAGCCACTAGCGCACTAGATCAGAAGAGTGAATAGGAAGTGCAATAAGCCATTTTTAATTTATAAAATAATAATGATGGAGACAAAAAAAGAGGGTAGTAAATTACTATTATAATGATTGCTCATAGACTCTAAACAATATAAACTGCTGAAAATATCATTTATTTCGATAAGGATTAGGGTGATTTGTAAATTAGCTAAGCTTCTAAAGGATCATTGGAATATGATTAGATCATGAAAAAACTTATTGATTAATCTAAAAGTAGTAAGTCTATTGAAAACTAAGAGGAGCTAGTACCTAAATAAATGGGATAATCCAAGTCTTAGTAACTCTAGCAAGTAAGAATCAATGAAGAATTTATTGCTATTCCCACTGAAGGTGCATAACCTTAAATTGATTAAATTGAGAGTCTAAATCAATATAATAATGAAGAGTCAGAATCTCTTCCAGTTATGGTTCATTTAAGAAAGGATTCTAATAATGAATCTGGGACTTTTAATAACATAATGAAATATTATGGTCCGAAATACATGGTTGTTATATCTTTCATTGCTAGTTTCATAGATGCATTTGCGTACCCTTTGAATGGCTATATATTTGCAAAGATTTTATTTGTTCTAATAAACAATCCATATTCTAAGACATATGAAGAAGATAGAAATTTTTGGTGCAGCTCATTTATGGGTTTGGTTTTGGCAGCTGGACTAAGTGATTTTCTCAATAATGGTATACACAAACACTTAAGTGAAAATTTAACAAACAATGTCAGAGTCAAACTATATTCAAGCATTATGAGAAAAGGGTTTGCTTGGTTTGACAATTAAAAACGTACTCCTGGCATACTTAGTGGCTATCTAACTGAGGAAATACGTCATTTAAATGGTCTGACAAGCTAAGCAATTAACAATACTTTGGAATCGATATTTTGTCTATTAATTGGAATTTTGATTGCATTCTTCAACTCTTGGAGACTCGCCTTAATTGGAATGGTTGCTTCCCCTATGGTCGTAATAGGTGGAGTAGCTCTACAAATAGCTTTATGGAATAGAGCCTAAAATCATACTAAAGCTGGCAGTAAAGAGAAAGTAAAAATTCAGCCTTACGATTTAGCAAATAGTTTAATCTCTGAGGTATTAACAAATTATAAGACTGTGATAAGTTTTGGCCCAAAGAATATTGGTTATCTTATTGAAAAGTATAATCTTCTTCTTCTAGAACCCCAAAGGAATGCAATAAAATATGCTCACTACTCTGGCATCATGTATGGATATTCAATGAGTAGTATGTATTTATTCGCTGCCTTAATGTTCGGGATTGCAGCAAAATATATTGTCATTTACTATGATCCTCCTGAGGAATCTTTCATCGCTATCTACACAATGCTTTATGCTGCTTTGCAATCAGGGGTTTTAATTTCCCAAGTTCCTTCTTTAGACAGAGCAAAGTAAGCATCTGAAAAGATATTCTCTATAATAAATGAATAAGATATTACAGACAGAATCCCCTAAAAAATGTTAGTAAACTCTCAACATCAAATATAAAATGGGACTATTCAATTCAAAAATGTCCAATTCAAATATCCATCAAGAGAGGAAAATTTATTCTAAAGGCTTAACTTTGAAATTCAAGGAGGCCAAAAAGTTGCTATAGTAGGTCACTCTGGCAGCGGCAAAAGTACCATCGCTAATTTAATACTCAGAATGTATGAAATAACTGGAGGATAAATTTTAATAGATGGTATTGACATGAATCAAATTGAAACAAATATTCTCCTAAGTTGTATTGGTTATGTGATGCAGGAACCAATATTATTTGACATGAGTATCAAAGATAACATCAAGTACGGTAATATTGAGGCAACAGATCACTAGCTAAGGATTTCTGCAAAACTAGCGAATGCTTTACACTTTATAGAAACTATTAAACAACAAGGATAAAGTACTAATTCAAATGATTTTTTAGATATCTAAGAAATAGAAGAGTAAAATTCAATTAATCAGTTAAAAGAAATTTATGTTGAAAATCCAATACTTGAAAAAGAACTCTAAACCTTAATTGAAGAGTAAGCAATATAGGACCCTCAAATTAGGGTGATTAAATAAATAGTAAGTGCGGCTAACTAACAAATTAGGGAGAAGATAAGTAAAAATGTCAAGATTTTTATAAAGGTGATTAATGAATCAATTGAAAAGCATTATGATAACTTGAAAGTAATTAAAAATTTCTATTGGGAAGTAGAAGTTTAAGATATCAAAAATTTCGTTCAACTAAAATCTACTGCAGATGAGAAATATAAGCAATAGATTGAAGTTGCACTTACAGATAATATAGAATAATTTGATATAATAACAGTTGAGGAATATTTAAAACTAAATTTAGAATCTATTAACCAATTAGCTTGCCCAAACTTTGAAGATCTAATAAATGATAAATAAAATTAAGATAGAATTAAGACTAAATAGAATTTTCTTGAAGAACAGCTTGAACAAATCAAATCTAATTCAGAGAAATTCAGTTTATAAAATGAAGGTAAGTTGCATAACGGATTTAACAGGAGTTGCGGACCCAAGGGTTCTAAACTCTCTGGAGGACAAAAATAGAGAATCGCTATTGCTAGAGCTTTGATTAAAAATCCTAGGATATTGATTTTAGATGAAGCAACTTCTGCTCTTGATGAATAATCGTAAGAATAAGTTTAAAAGGCTCTTGAAACAGCGATGGAAGGTAGAACTTGTATTGTGATTGCTCACAGATTGAGTACAATATAAAATTGCTAGTGGATTATTGTTATGGATAAGGGAGAGATTGTTGAGCAAGGTTCTTTTTAAGATCTCTCATTAAATCAGTTTTCTTATTTTAATAAGCTTAAGGCTAAAATGGAATCATGAAATTTATTTGAATATAATAGATTAATTTTTCTTCGATATTTTTGATAATTTCCATAGATGGGGTTTTGGGGTTTTGGGG